ATTGTTCCTCTCCATTCTGAAATGGACAACATTTCAGCAACTGGAAGCCCAAATACAAGCTATGAAATCGGATCAAACCCGGATAGCCGAAGAAGAGCGTAGGAAAACACTAAATGAGGAAACAAAACATGCACGAGCTGTAAGTTCTCATTTGAAGTGATTCGATGCACGGTTGATTTTGTCCTTCAGCGAGCTGACTATCAAGATCAACTTGCCCGGAAGCGTGCAGAAGAAGAGCTAGCTTTGAAGGCTAGAATGCAGGAGGAGAGTTTGCGAAAACAGGAGGAAAGCGTGAAGAAGCAAGAAGCTCTGAGAAAGGGTGACTGTTCAAGCATATTGGACTATTAAGCATTAATTGTAACTTGAGCCCTCTTTGGAGGCATATATTCTTTTCTAGCAGTGCCTTCTTTTTCAGCAACTATCGAACATGAACTAGCTCTCAAACATAAGTATGAGCTGGAGAAAATTGAGGCCGAAACTCGAGCTCGTGCAAAAGCTGCAAGGGAGAACCGGTAAGTCGGTCAAGTATTGTATTCTACTATCTAGTGATTTAGCTGGGAACCAGAGTTTCGTTTTTTATATCCCAAAAGTTCCGCATCAAATATCTAATAGCTACTACATATCGCCCTTGTTTGTCGGGGTCATTTTTTAAGCTTGAATATTTGATGGTTTAGTGGTTTTTACTCGCTTGAGTGACAGGATATCATTTTTCTCATTCAGCCCACGCTTGGTTTTTCTTTATGAAAAAATTTTCATTCATTCATTCATCCGCACACAAGTGATGTGTGAATGAATGAATGAAAAGCAAAGCAGCACCGGAAGGCAAGATTAGTATTACCCACTATACGGATTTGGAGAAATTTAGGAGAATCAGTTATTTAAAGTTATTCCTCCTACATAAGGACTTCGTTTTCACAACTTTTTCATATCATCGTTTGGAACATGTATTTTTCATTTTATGGAAGGGTTTCAGTGATGTGAATTTGGAACAGATGAAGCTGCATGAAGAGGAAAATAGGAAAACGGTCATCGAAAAAATTAAGTAAGATTTTTCCTTACAAACCAGCGCTATTAATCTGCGGTCGTAATCCTGAATATTCGATTTTGAGCTTGGTTTTAGGACAGGTGGTGCTGTTCTCGGTGCTGGTCTTCAAGACTTTTTGTCTGACAAAACAAAGATGACTGCTGCTGTAAGTGTTATAGATTTGTACGATTGATTCATGTACGAACGGTTTCTCTTGACTCAGGTTGGAACACTAACTGCTCTGGCTGTTGGATG